GCTGTAGGAAAATGATATGTGTGATAAATACAGAAAAGCATGGAAAGATCTATATGAAATGATGCAAAGTGAAGCTGAAGCAAGAAAACAGTATACTTGGTAGCTACAAAATGTAAATGGAAAGAGTAACTAGATACCATAAAATCAAAAGTAAACATCATAAAATTATAAACTCAAACAGGATTTGAATAAAGAGATATGAGAAGACACCTCCAACCTAACCCTTTATGGAGGAAGGAGGTCCACAGGTATTCCACTGTGCATGTTTTTGAACTTTTTCAACATACTGGTCAGTTGTACTATTTTTTTTTCTCTTCAAAAGAAAAATCCTACTTTTATATGGTACAGCTCTTGGGGAGAAGGAGGGAAAGGAGTATTTGAGATAACTGGTGATGTAAGAAACAGAAAATATCAATAAAAATATTTAACAGAAATGTTTACATTGGTCAAACTTCTGAGAGGCAGTTTGGCAAAGCAGCTTTAAGGCTGGCCTGGAGTTAGGAAAATGGGTTCAAGTTACACTCTGAAATCCTGGATAACTTCTCAGTATCGCCAACAACTTTCTTATATTTATAAGTTATAGAAGAATTTCTGATCTGCATTGGCAGAAGAGATTTGCTGTATATCACTAAAATCATAGGTTAGATTAAACTCTAATCTCCCCCCTTCCTCCCCTAAAGAAACACAACAAACTTATGAGGCAATATATTCTGTGTCTATATCCCTTTCTTTCATGTGTATTGTTTTTCATCATAAAAATTTGAAAGACAGGATTGAGTTGTTTCAATTGCATACTATATATTTTGTTTTCATCCTTCTGGTTTTGTATTAATTTTGACCTTTCCTGTAACATTGATGGCTTAACTATACACAGACAATTCAGAAATGACTTCCACATCAGTAATAAACTGCTTCCTGGCTATTAAAAGATAATTTAATTTTTTGTTATGTTGTTAGTGGCTCACCATATCTACTGACTTCTATTTCTTTTTTTTTAAAGAAAGTATGAGTGATATATGGACATGAGGCTTTCGTATATTCTACAGTCTTTTGGCTTCTCATTCCTTACATCTATGTTATATTTTTTCATTATATTTCTTACCATCTACACATACTATAACAATTGCATTGAAGTCACCAGGTATCAAAATATTTTTATTTAATTTGGAAGATCTTATCAAGTTCTCAGAAGAATTTCTTTACCTCTTCATTCTCTGTAGATATTGATGTGTAAGCTGCAATAATTTTCACCAATACTTCTCATGAGTACTGCAATATGAGGTGTCTAAATGTGCCATGAAATGACGTTTCCTATTGCCTCTGGAAATGACAAAACTAATTCTGTCAATTTCTTTGCCTCTCCAAGATGATCCTGTGAGCCATTCTTTCATTTTGCTATAATTTTTTTTTCTTTTGGATTAATTCATATCATGAATGCCAAGATAAATACAAGTCAGTTCTTTCAGTCATATATCCTTTATAAGTAGTTAATTCAGGTAAAATGTTGAACTAGATGTAGCTACACAACATAGCAGGATGTCTGCTTGTGAAATGATCACAATGGTGCTGATGTCTGGGGTAAAATGGATATTTATGGCCAAGTTGTTGGCTATTATATATTACATATCTGTTGTTATTGTTTATTGCTATTATAAATAACAATAGTTTCCAAAGTACTTTCACATACATAATCCCATGTGCTCACTGAAATAATTCTAGTAGGTAGATAGGGAGGGCAATTATTAGCTCTATTTTGCAGATGAATGAATAGATGAAAAAGCATTTATTAAGTGCTTATTACTAGCATTGTACTAAGATGGGGAATACAAACAGAAAAACTGAGACAGTTCCTACTGTCAAGGAGCTCACATTCTATTGGAGGAGACACCATATATAGGTGGTTTCAGTTGCGAGTCAGATGGAAAGGGCCCATGGTCTTTAGGGTACAACGAAGCAGATGGTAATGCATCTTCTTTAATGTCATTTCCACTGATTAAAAAACCACATCCATTTCTGATGCTGAACCATTTGACAGTGTCAAGGACTTTGGTGGCAAGAACGTTCTTCTATGGATCTTCAATAGATGTGGCTGTCAGTGAGGCAGCACCTTGTAGCAACTGTTTGTTGATGGCAGTTTGTCAGTAGTGTGGTGTGGTAGTTTAGCTTGCCTGAATGTGCTTCTGACTCTGGACTTTGGTACCATGACTCAGCTGCCTTCTCATCTTGAAACATCCCTCTTCCATCTCAGTTCCCTTCTCATATTTTAGGAGTCTGTATTTTGGGGCTAGGCTTGGCAATGCTTCATTCCCTTCCTGGGGTATGTTTCTGATTTTTCACCCTATTTTTCAGTTTCTTTTGATGTGTTTTCTTCTCTTATTAGAAAATAAGCTCCTACAGCACAGATGCTTTTTTTGGCTTCTATTTATATATTAAGCACTTAGCACAGTTTTGGCACATAATAAGTGTTACCTGTCTGCCTGCCTGATGTGTCTCCCATCTCTTTCAGAGTGTCCATTTGCTTAAGCTATACAGGTCTTGTCTGCCCTGCAGGTAGAGGGAAGTCTGATGTCAATAAATATAGCTAGCCCGTCTCCACAGGTGTTGCTTCATTGGATGATGTCTGTGCTGTAGGAGGTTCAGAAAAGTTAAGTGACTTTCCAAGGCTGCAGGTCACAAAGTTCTTGGGGGGAGAGAAGAGAAGAAGGACCTAGGACTCAGTTCTAGGATTTCTGACTTGCAGGTCAATATTCTTTCTATTTCATCACCTAGCTTACCAGAATGAAACAACTTATCAATCCACAAATATTTATTAAGCATTTAGGTGTGCCAAGAACCAGCAACTCTATTGCTAACTGCCACAAATGCTACAAATCCCAATAGGTCTGTAAGGACAGAGGCTATGGGTACTTCCATGTATGGCACCTTTAATTTTTTTAAATTATCAAATATATAGATAAGATAGATAGATAACAATCACTATCAAATGTGAATTTAGAAAAATGGCTCACCAATGACTTGCTAGTAAGGAGAAAAAATGTGTCACAGTTCAAAATTAGATTTTACAGTAAAACATGGGAATTGTTTTCCCACTGTTTCTTGTCCTGTCAGCATGTGACGTTTGTGAAATGTACACATTACTGCCAACATTTGATGGATGGCATATAGATAAATAAGGTATTTCATACTTAGTGTAGCCATATCATGTGGCTTCAGGAGGAAGATTATTCAGAAGTCTGCTGGTTACTCTGATTTGATTATTCATATATAGAGAAAAAGGAGGTAATCATATCTTCTTTCTTCATCGAGAGAGACACAATAAAGTAACATGAATAAATAAAATGAACTTTTTGTGTGTCTCCATTTCATTTTCATTTCATTTCCTTTTTTTCTGTCCTGTTAGTATCCTCATCGTCTCCTCTTTCTGAAAGGAGTATACAAAATAAATGTTATTGTGAGAATAAAAGCAGAATTTATGAATTCAAAAAAAGTTTTTAGAAATATCAAATCCTCACGTAATAATGTACTTTGGGGAAATAAAAGTAACTATTAGTAGTCAGATTTTGTTGTTAATACTAGCCCAAGACTGATCACCTTCATCAGTGGTCCAGAAGGGCATGCACTTACGTATAGATTATTCTGGCCTACCCTTGGAGAACACTGTAAACAAGGGTAGAGAAGCCATATTCCCATATCTATGCACATGGAAAGCAAATGAATCTAGAGATAGAAATTCCAAAGAGTCTTAAGGAAGGGAAGTCTTGGGAGTCAAGGAGAGAGAGAGGGGAAGGGAAAAGCAGGGAGAAAGAGAGAGGTAAAGGAGGGGAAGAAAGGGGGGGAAGGAATGGGGGAGGAGAGAAAGAGGAGAGAACAGGGAGAGAGAATGTGTATGGTTTTAGAATATGGAGCAAGTATTATTCATTAGTGATGAGCAGAGTTTAACATCCTAAGACCATAAATTTATACCTGTAAGGGGCCTTAGAGCTCAGAAAGATTTTCTGTATCAGAAAGATACAGACTTTGCCCATGGTCTTGGAGAATGTGACAGAGGCCAGATTTAAATTTTCTGACTCCAAGCCCTGGATGGGAAGACAAGTTTCACTTTGAATTGCCTTTGAATGCACAGTTACAGAAAGTAATTAGCTTTAAAGACACAAATGAAATATGCTTAAAAAAACTGAAATATTTGAATAGAAGGGAACTCAAGAGTAAATTATTATTTCATTTATATGTATATACATGCTTTTTTTGTTTTCAAAGTACTTTAGAACAAAAATATTGGGAATAATACCTATTATTTTCACCAATAGGGAAAACAGGCATCAGAAGGGTGAAAACTAAGAAGAAAAGAAAGATAGCATATCTGGATTTAGAATTCAAACTCCCAATCCAAAACTTAGACCAATGTCAGATTTTGTGGATGGTTTAGGCGTGTTCTTTTTGTTACATCAAGTAGACAATCTAATTTCTCTTATGACATTTTATGCCAATCCATTTTCAGAGTTTTAGGCCCAAATGATTGACTTAAAGAATTCAGATTTTTTTCAGATATATTTTGTTTAGATACAAAATATAACCTAAGATCTATGAAAACTGAGGTGATATAGCAATATCAACTCTGGTGTCTCACTGTATAACTTGCAATGTTACCACACTGCAAATGAAAATATATGAACTTTCAGAAATATAGAAACCAGGAAGTACTTCAATAAAAACAGAATCCTAGAACAATTACGAAGTAGTAAATGGAATAAGAAATGCAAAGGTTTTAAATATCAACATAACTGAAATTTAAATGCTTAAGTCATTTTAGAACATGAGCTCAATTGATCACTATTCCTTTGGATAACAGGCACAAATTCTATAAATCCTGAGGCAGCAAGTCCTAGACATACCAGAAATGAGTCAGAACTATAACAAAACTATCCCAATTATATATCAAGATGTATGACAGCATCATTTTAGAAAAAGGAAAATTTATTACAATTTGAAGAGTTCACTATAGAAAATGGACGTTTAGGAAATATGAAAATTGATTAGAAGTTATGATCAGTTGTAAAGTCCACAAATTCTTGAAGGTAGAAATATTAAGCTTCTAGCATTTTTTCATGATTAGAGTTGTAATAAACACTTTGGATTTTTAGAGGGGAAAAAGGCAAGTAAACAAATAGACAGTTTCATGAAAGGAATGAACTCTTCTGAGATGGCTTTATTCTCCACTGAAGTTCATTAGGGGACTATATTTTTGTAGTCTATTTCCTTTACTTACTGTGAAGATGTCACTGTTTGGCTTTCCTATCCCCCCAAACAGGAAACTGCTTATGCACAATGACACAAACCTAAGCATACGCTTCAGGCTTTCGCATTCCAATATACAGCTACTCTGACAGCTTTCCCAACTCTAAAGGGATGTGAATGAACGATGGCATATTTTTAAATATTTTCCAGATCCATCATGGAGGCTGCTTTTCTTCTCTGTACTGTAATCACACTGAGCTGCAATTAAAACAAACAATCAGTAAGCTGTTCTTTTTTCCCATGGAAAGTTTTAGTTTAGCAGAATAACAGAAAAGAAAATGGACCAAAAACTTAGAATCAATATCTATTAAGGTCTTTTGTTGGAAGTCTTATATTCCATGGCTTTAGAATGTGAAATGTTTTATAAATTAGAGAAACACTTCTCAAAAGTAAGACATCATTCAGTAGTGAAGGGTGATACACCAAGAACCTCAAAAACATAGATTATAACAAATAACTTAAACTAACTAGACTACAAACTAAATATGAGTAAAGAATGTGGGGCTATTATTGAAAGGGCTAATATGATCCTTTGCTATGTCAATAAGACTCCAGGATGTTAAACAATCCTTTAAACCTTACAATCTATCAATTGTAAGTTCTTTATTCAGGATATTATGTCTAGATTTTTTTTAAAGAGGAATATAGAATATCTGGAATTGAGTGTTCAGGAAAAAAAATTCACATGTAGCTATGTCTGGGAAAAGGAATATAAAAATGAAAGGACCTAGATTATTTAATGCAGAAAAAGACTTAATTTAGTTGCTTCCAAGGAAGCATTATTATTATAAAGAAGATATAGATAAACTACTTTTTATCCTTACCAATAGCTCTGATAAGCTTATGCTGTTTAGTTTCAAGAAAACCTAGAGTAAGATATTCTCTATGAGAGAACGTAGGACTAGGACTTTGATAGAACAATATAAAGACTTCTACAAGGCAAATGTTGGAATTTTTAGCTCTGGACATTTGAAAAGAAATAACAGTACTGCCATGGGGCAGGAACTAAAATTAATATGACCACTTTATTCTGTAAGTTAGTAGAGAGGCAGAGTAGTATAGTGGAAAGGACACTTGATTTTGAATCAAGAGACCTGAATTTGAATTCAAATTCTAACATTGTGACTATGGGCAACTCACTTAATTCTTATGAAACATAGTTTTCTCATTTGTAATTCCTACACTACCATACTCTTAAGAAAGTTAATTTAAGGAAAAAATACATAAATATGAGTTATTACAATGATTTTTCTAGTATATCCTTTTCCCATAGAATTCAAGGTAACAATGCTAAATAGGTTATCTTTTTCAACACAGTCCTTAGACTCACAGAATCTCAGAACTGGAAACAGCCATCTGGTCCACACAATCTCAGAAAAAGTATGCACTAGACATAGCAGACAAGTGGTCATCCAATCTTTGCTGGAGGACCTCCAACAATGGGGAAGCTATTTAAGAAGTTAAGATAGTAATTAAGGTACCAACTTTTATTGTAAGCCACTCCATATTGAAAATAAATGAGTATTTAAATTGTAGGAAATTTTATAATGTGACAAGAATGACAAGGAACAAAGTTTTATCTACTTCTACTCCAAGGAAAAGCATCATACAAGAAATGGCCCAAGAAAAGGAATCCACAGAAAATACTGACAACTTCTTAGGTATGGATTTATATCTTCTTCAAAGAACCAGTATAAATTACAAAATATGTAACTTAGTTTTTGAAATTTATTTATTTACTTTTGACTGTTATAGTCCATCATACCCTGATAATTACTGAGCTTATGCCAACAAACTACCCAACACTGATCCTGTTAATTCATTAATAAGCATTTAAGATCTAAGTGCCAGGAATGATACAAAAAAAAGAAAAAAAATGTCTGACAGTAAAGAGTTTGCATTCTAGTGCCAGTGACAACGTAAAAAATTAATTATATAGAAGATATATACAGAATAGATAGAGGTAATCTGAGAAGAGAAGGTATTAACAACTGAGAGAAAAAGGAAAAGTCTTTTTTAAAAGGTGGAATTTGAGCTGATTCTCGAGGGGAGTCAGGGAAAGTAACAGACACAGGAAAAGGGGCCAAAAATTCCAGTCATGGAGAACACTGATACAAAGCAAAAAGATGGGATATGGAGTCGTAACATACACAAATAGGCCAGTGTGGCTGGATCATAGACTGTGTGATGGGGAGTAAAGGATAAGATGATAAAGGAAGAAACCAAGTTATAAAAATCTTTAAATGTTAAATAGGAGTCCATAGTTGATATTGGAGGTGATAGGAAGCCAATGGAATTCATTGAACAGAGGGGTGACTTGGACAGAAGTACATTTTAGAAAAATAATCTTGATAGCTAAGTGGAGTATAGATTGGAGTGAGGAGAAACTTGAAGCTAGGACACCTATTGTGATTATCCAGGGGAGAAGTGAAGAGGACCTGTAGTACGGTGGTTGCTGTCTGAGTGCAGACAAGAAGGCATACATGAGCCATATTGTGAAGGTAGAAACAATAAATTTTGGCAACAAACTGGATGTGTGTGGTGAGTAAGAGAAGATGAGTATGAAATCAAAATTGCAAACTTGGCCAACTAGGAAGATGGTGGTGTCTTCAACAACGATATGAAAGTTTGGAAGAGGGGAAGGTTTAGGGCATGGGTGGGGAAGCTGTGGCCTCAATGCCCTCCTGGTCCTTAAATGCAGTACTCTGAATCCAACCTTCACAGAACGAATACTTTTGGGGATTCCTTACCCCTTGTTTAGGGGAAAAGATAAGGAGTTCTGTTTTGGACATGCTAATTTTGAAATATTTACAGGACATCAAGTGATAGATGTACAAAAGGCAATTGTTGATGCATGACAGGCTTAGAAGAGACGCTACAGATGGATACAGAGACTGAGAATCATCTAAATAGAGATGACGATTTAACCCATGGAAGATGATGAGATTACTAAGTGAAAAAGTGTCAAGGGAAAAGAGAAGAGGGCGTAGGAGACAGCCAATGGCTTAGAGTTACTGGGCATAGAATGAATGAAGAACTATCTAAAGAGCGAAAGAAGGAGCAGTTGGACAGATAGGAGAAATAGAAGAGAGTAAAGTCATGAAAACCATGAGGGCTTAGAGTGTCCCAGATGAGAAAATGATCAACGGTATCAAATGCTGTAGAGAGATCAAGAAAGATGAAGACTGAGAAAAGGCCATTAGATTTAGCTATTAAGAGGTCACTGGTACCTTTGGAGAGAGCAATTTCAGTTGAATGATAAGTCTAGAAGTTAGACTGTGGAAGTTTTCGAGGAGAGTAAGAGGAGAGGAAGTGGAGACATTAAGTGTAGACAGCTGTGTCAAGTTGTTTAGCCATGATAGTTGTTTAGCCATGAAGGAGAGGAGAGATATTAGATGAGAGTTAGCAGAAATGATAGTATCAAGTAAGGGTTTTGAAATTAATTCCTAAAATCTTGGCTACTATCTATCACAGGGGAATGTCACTTAGATATCTACTTCAAAACAAATGTTCCCCTGTAGATGATATTACTTAATATGTAATGGTCTCTGAGGTTTCCTAATCATGTTTCTATCATCTCAGTGATTACTTTATTTAAGTGTATTTGTATATCTAGAACAAATGAAGTTGCACTTCTGAAGGCCATTTTTTTCTACTTTAAAAAGAACAAAAACAACAAAAAATTAACACACGTTGTTGAGATATTTTTAAAATTACTTAATCTTAAGTTTTTACATGTGATAGCCTCACACTTTAGGGTAGAAGACATTCCAATTTCATAGTCACTCAAATGTTAGCTTCTGTAGACAACTAATACTATCTATTATAAAATATGTGTTTGGACCAAATAATCTCAGAGGTTCCAAAATTCTTTATTTCTCCAAGTCAGTCTGCTAGTTTTGAATGTTAAATAAAGGTGCCTAATTTTAATTAGTTTAAGTAAACAAAAAAAAACACTTCTACTCTAGGAATTTTCAAAACGTTTTTCTTATTCTTGTCCCACTTAGACTATTTTATTTATCTAACGGTAATGAACTTATTCTCTACCTGCTGAGAGGCTGAAGCTGCTCTTTGTTCTGCCTGACTCAGGCGTCTTTGAAGTCTGTTGGTTTTTTCTTGATGTTCCATAATTATCTTTTCATTCTGTTTTAGGGAAATAATGTCATAGAAACATATACTTTTGTTAACACATTCCAACCTAAAATGGAGAAGCCTTAAAGCAGTCTGAGTTTCAGTGATGCTGAATCTGGACACTACTATTTGCAAAAAAGCAAAAAGACAACACAATGTAGTTTTCATATATTAGGATCAGTTTTAAAGTAATATTTTACATTCTAAGTGCATAATTCTTTTTTCTATACATAGCAACCTTCCAAGAAAGCAAGTTATTAATATTAAAAGCAAATTGGTAATAAGTGTAATTTGAAAGGTTGACAACTAAGACAATTACTTCTAATTCTTATTTTGCATGCTTTTAAATCCTTGTCAGAAAAAAAGGGACTTCACCATAATTTATGTGCAACAGATAGAAGATATTTATTCTAGAAATCCTGACCAAAATATTCAGCATTTCCTTACATGAATACTGATCAAACTAGGAATGAGAACAAGCCTCATGCCTTACAAGGCATGGGGCAGCACGGGGAGGTTTTGGTGTGTTCCTTCAACACTCTTTACTAGGCAAAATGATTATATTTTAAGGCCAATAAAGTCATTTGGCAAAATAGTTTCAAATGACTCATGGAATACTATATTGTTAACCCGTTCAAAGAATCTATTGAGTTTTTTACATTAACCCTTATATCTAGGAGTGATACACCTGACAGTTGTAAGTGCTTGCCACCTGAAGCAGCATTAATACAATGGACTATGGAGACAAATCATTCTAATAGTTCTTGGATCTGCTGGATTTTAGGTTTGGCCTAATGAATCTATGCAAAACTACATTAATCCTGTACAGCATTTTTTGCCTTACATTCACATACTTTTTTAAAAATTTTGTTAAATGTTGTTTTCCTAAATGAAGCACCTGGATCTTATTTGGGTTGAGTAGAATAACTAGATTTTATTCTTTAATTTTAGTTCCCAAAGAGAAGAGAATAAGGAAGGGATTAGACCCTATGCCTAAGGAATTTGGAGCTTGAATCAGCTCACTTCTATCAATCAAAAGAAATCAAGAAATTTGATGAAACAATAACATAATTTATATCATTAGTAAGAGTGAATGTCATGTCTAATATATCAAATATTGATATGACAATCCTGTATACTTAAATAGAATCCATCCCTAAGCAACTTAAGCATTCAAGTTCTAAAAAGAACAGGTGTCCTAAATACACATTCATTAAATTTCCATTACTACTTTCTGTAAGTTTTTCTGATTTACTTTGCTCCACAGTAAGAACATCAAAAGAAGCACTAAAATACCCTAAAACATTTTACTTAGCTTCAAACATCATTCAGAAATTGCCTATTTAATTTTTGTACCATTCAGAAGGACTCTCAGATAAGCAATAAATCCCATCCCAACTTTACATATTAAAAAAACAAAGTACACTTTATTTAAACTTTTAATCACAAATTCTGTACTTTCAATGTGGTTATGGAATAAAACAAAATTTGGAAAAGTCATTAAAAAATAATCTTAGGCATACATAGGGAGGGTTAAATGTTCCTTACAATGTTCTCTGAATCATGATAAATTGGAATGCTTAATTTTATCATTTGTATTTCAAGAATGAATTTAAATTTTATAGCATATACATTCTAGCAAATGCAAATAAGATGGTGGACTTTTCCAATTCTGGTTTATTCCTATAATAAGCATTTATATCTTTATGGGCATTTGCAAGCACATAATTCATTTGAACTTGGCTCAAGTAAAACTCTATAGCATGAATATTGAGCTATAAAAGAAGTATCTCCCAGAAGAGTCATTATCTTACCTCAACTACCTTTTCATTTGCAGTTTCCAGCTGAGAAAGTAATTCTTGGGTATGAAGTTTCTGTCGATTCAGCTCACTTCTATCAATCAAAAGAAATAAAGAAATTTGATTAATATAATCATTCAATACATAAAGAAACTGAGCATTATACTAAGTCACTGGTAGGTAAAAACTGATTGCTCATCACAAGAAGTTCTTTGTGACACTAAATTAAAAAGATGCTCTCATTTTATAATGGTATACACACACACACATACATACACACATACACATGGTATGTTTGTGTTAAAAGCCAGAATTGTTTTGTCAATATTTTTCTCATAGGAGATTATCAATATTCCTTTTCATCATTACGTTTCAATTGTATGTGCTTTTTAAATGCTTCATTAGACTACATGTTTGTTAGGGAAAGAAATCATATCCTTTATTTATTTTGAAGGTTAGATTAGAATTTGATTATATTATCCTTTAGCAGTTGTGTGGCCCTTTGACTGAATCCAAACTTCACAGAACAAACCCCCTTAATAAAAGGATTTGTTCTATGAAGTTTGGATTCTGTCAAAGGGCCACACGTGAGGATCTAAAGGGCCATATGTGGCCTCAAGACCGCAGGTTCCCCACTCCTATGTTAGCCCAAAGCAGACATTCAGAGCATACACAATCTCTATCTGTAGATCTATATGTATGTCTCTATCTATCTACCTATACACACACACATCTACATATATATATATACACATACATATTAATGGAATTGTTAGAATAACCTTTAAACATCAAAAATGGCAAAAACTAAAGTTTGTAAGTTTTTACTATTAAAATAGGCACCATATCAAAATTGTTTCTATAAAAGGTATCTTCAGACCAATATATTACATAATTTTAACTATAGCAGCAAGTTACTTACTGCCTGGCAGAGACATATATGTAACTTTTAATGTCTATTTATACTAGCTTAAAAAAAGCTAAAATTATTTGACTTATCTTGAATTGAAGTAAAGGCTTATTTTACAAACTACTTAGAAAAATTTATATCTAAAGTGTTCAGCCAGTAAGGAAAAGTATTTTGACTGATCATCACACTGACTAATACTTACTTGAAAAATGACCTGTGAGTTTTTGGTGACAGAATAAAGACAAGAATAGACTATGGTACTTATAACCTTGGCTGTTACTCTTTTGTAGTTTGACATAGCAAGATGAATGAACACAGTTTGGAAAAGTTCACGGAATTTAGAGGTTGAAAAAACAATAAGAGATCATCTAGTCTTGTATCTTCAATTCTAAAGATAAGAAAACTGATGCCTAGAGAAGTTAAGTGACTTACCCGATGTCACAAAGGTAGTAATTATCTAAGCCAACTGTGAACCCACGTTTGATGAATTGAGATTGAGTGCTTTTTTAGTATTCATTTGACGCAACCTGCAACCACTCTATCAACATAATGAAGGATACAGATTTTATGAGAAGCAACTGGAGGAAAGACTATTTACCCAGATAACTTTTTAATTATGGCATTAAAGATGAAATGAAATTAGGTCCAAGAGATGACCTTGCATCATTCTTTGGTCAACAGAAATCATCTTTGGGGGCAGCTAGGTGGCGCAGTGGATAGAGTACTGGCCCTGGATTCAGGAGGACCTGAGTTCAAATTTGACCTCAGACACTTGACACCTTACTAGCTGTGTGACCCTGGGCAAGTCACTTAACCCCACTGCCTAGCCAAAAAACAAACAAACAAACAAACAAAATTAAAAAAAAAAAAGAAATCATCTTTGCTGGGAAACCAGAAAATTTACTCTAATGTTGGCAATGCTATGAAGCTGTTGGAATGTAAAAATGAGATGACAGTATTTCTTACTTCAATGGATCTCTGAATTAGTTGGTATCAAAACCCTACTGATATAGATGACAACCCAATACTTTTCCATTTTGTATAATTCTTATTTATACCCTTCCTTAAATTCTCCACAGAAAATTTGTTCATTATGCTTAAAATCTTCCTTTATGGTCTTTTATTGTTTTGTGGATATCACTGCAACACTAGGACAGCTTATCTGTTAACTCTCATTACAATATGACTGGCCTACCACCTTTACCATCACATGTGTCCTTGTTAATATCTTTTTCTCTTTTAAAAAAAAATATAATTTTTAAAAAATTAAGAAAAATGTATTTTATTTCCCTCTCACCTCCTCCATACCTATTGAAAAAAAAAAAGAAAACCAAAACCCTTATAACAAATATGTATTGGTAAGCAAAACAAATATCTTTGGTGGTTATATTCAGAAATATATTCCTCATTCTGTGCTTTAAGTCCAGAATTTCTCTGTCAGAAAGTGGCTGGTGGGGCAGCTAGGTGGCACAGTGGATAGAGCATGGTCCCTGGAGTCAAGAGGACCTGAGTTCAAATATGACCTCAGACACTTACTGGCTGTGTGACCCTGAACAGGTCACTTAACCCCAACTACCTCAAAAAAAAAAGGTGACTAGAATAAATCATCTTTGGTCATCTGGGATTGTGATTGGTCATTGTGCTGATCAGAATTTTTAAGTCTTTCAAAGTTGATTTTTTTAAAGTGCTATTTTTATTGTATAAATAAAATTGTTCTGGTTTAGTTCACTTTACTCTCCTTTATAAAAGCCTTCCCAGGTTTCTCTGAAACTGTAACCTTCATGATTTCCTATGGCACTATAACATTCTATTATATTTACATATGATAATTTGTTTAGCCATGCCCCAAATGATAAGTACCCCTTCAGTTTCTAGTTCTTTGACACTACAAGAGGAATTATAATTATAAGGATTTATAAATATTTTTGTACATATGAGTCCCTTTCCTCTTTCTATGATATCTTGGGGTATGGGCCTACTAAGGGTATTGCTGGTGTAAAGGTATGTGACTTTTTAGGCACAGTTCTACATTGCTTTCCAGAGTGGCTGAATCAATTCAAAGCTAAACCAACTGTATTAGTATTCCTATCTTCTCAAAGCTCCTCCAAGAATTATCATTTTTATTTTTTGTTATTTTTGCCAATATGATAGGTGTGAGGTGGAACCTGAGTTGCTTTAAATTGCATTTCTCTAATTATTAGTGATTTGGTGCATTTTCATTTGGTTGTTAATAGCTTGGGTTTCTTCCTTTGGAAATTGCCTTTTCATATGTTTTGACCATTTATCAACGGGCAAATGGCTCTTATTTTCATAGATCTGAATCAGTTTCTTATATATCTCAGAAATGAGACCATTATCAGAAATTTGCTGCAAAGATTGTTTTTGAGGTTAAGTGATATCACCCTTTACATCTAAGTTATATGACAACAACAACAATATCACCTATGTGGTGCTTTAAAGTTTACAAAGCCCTTAAGGATATTATCTCATTAGATATTCACAAAACCTCTAGGAGGTAGATGCTATTATTATTATTTCCATTTTACAGATGAGGGAACTATGGCAGGTATAAGTTAAATGACTTGCCCCAGGGTTACACTAAGGCAGGATTTGAACTCGGGTCTTACTCTGAGTACAACACTCTTTTCATTGTACCACCTATTTGCTTAGTTAGATGCATCAATTTTGAGCTTATTTTACTTTATGGGGGTGTCAAATGTGTTAAACTGCTTTCTAGTTTTCCCAGCAGATTCTTTCTGAGTAGTGCATTTTTATCTCAGTAGTGGGGGTCTTTGAATTTATCAACACTAGGTTACTGTATTCATTTGCTTCTGTATATTGTTTATCTAATCTGTTCTAACGATTGACATCTCTATTTTTTAATCACTACTAAGTCATTTTGATGATTATTTACTTTGTATTATAGTTAGAGATTTGGTACTGCTAACTCTCTTCTTTTTCACTTTTTTTCTTTATTTCCCCTAAGGTTTTTGACCTTTTGTTTCTCTAGATTAATTTCATTTTTTTTCTAACTTCACAAGAGAATATGTTAGTTTGATTGACATGGTACTGAAAAAGTGAATTGATTGAGGCAATAAGGTTATTTTTATTATACTGGCATGGCTTACCCTTGAGCATTTATCTAACATTTGTCTAATTACCTGGGTCTATATTATTATAAAGAATGTTTGGGGGAGAAAATTTAAACTAAAAATAAATTAATTAATTAATTAATTAAAAAAAAGAAATGATTGCGGGAGGGGGCTTAGAAAAAAAAACTGGGAAGACTTAAATGAACTGATGCAAAGTTAAGTGAGCAAAACCAGGAGATCATTGTATGTGTTAATGATTGCCTATGAAAGACTTAAATCCTCTGATCAACAAAATGATTCAATACAGTTCAGAAGGACTAATGATGAAAACTATCTATTCCCACAGAGAGAACTGATTAAATCTTATTGAAAATTAAAGTATAATTTCTCACTTTAATTACCTGTCTTACTTTTGTGTGTGTGACATTGTTAATATGGAAATGTATTTTGCATGACTTCACATGTTTAATGGATTTTGCTTGCCTTCTAATTTTGCTTGAGTGGGGCTGGAGGGAGGGAGACATTTAGGAACTCAAAATGTTAAAAAAAATTAAAAATAAACAATTAATATTTTAAAGTAAAAAAAAAAAGAATATTTAGTAGTTGCACTAACATAGATTTTATGTGTACGTATCAGTAGATTGACTCCTAAGTATTTGTTGTTTTGCCCATTCAATTGTGAGCTCCCTAAGGGCAGGGAATGTTTTTTGTCTCTTTTGGTATGCCCAGTGGTTGGCACAGTGCCTGGCACATAGTAGGCACTTAATAAGTGTTAACTTATTGAAATGATTACATATTCTATAGTTATTATTTTTTTCTATAGTTATTTTGAATGGAATTTCTCTTGCTATTTCTTCCTGTTGGATTTTGTTTATCTTACAAAGAAATGCTGATAATTTGTGTGGATTTATTTTATATCCTACAAGGTTGCTTAAAATAAGAGTTTCAATAAAATTTTAGTTGACTGTGTAGGATGTACTAAGTAAAACATATATTCAAAAAGCATTTTTTCCCCTTTTTGCCTATACTTCCCCTCTCCCCTAATTTTTTTCTTATTGCTATAGTTAACATTTCTAGTACTATATCAAGCAG